AGATAGATAGATAGATAGATAGATAGATAGATAGATAGATAGATAGATAGATAGAAGCAAAACTTTATTGTTTCCTTTCACTTTTCTGTGGTGGACAATAATAAAGCTTTGGACAGATCTGAGAAGGTTCTGGCTGCAGCAGCTGTGGGGTTAAACAAGTTTTCAAATCAAACTACATGGTAACTTTTGTTGGCCAGCAAGTGTATTTCTGTTGTTCTGCCTGTTTTGTTTCATAAAAAATAATAAATCAATTCAAAAGTGTAAAATAGCACGTTAGAAATACAATTCTGAGTGATGTTGTAAACATAGCAATCCCTGATTATTCCAAATCTCAATTTAGCTCATCTCATTAAAGACAATTGAACCCTGCCCCCCAAAGCGACCCTCTATTCAAAAAGACTTTATGGTCATTTTACACGTCAGGTCTAAAAAATAAAAAATAAAAATAAAAATGAGCCAAAGAGACCAGAAAACCAGGACCGAGCAGGGTCCATTTGATCTCAACAGCAGGCAGCAGCGGAACCAACTGCGACCCGAAAGATGTGGCACGGATGGTGAAGGATTACGTCATCGAGAAAAAAAATAAGGAGGACGCCTCATCGCAGCAAGCAAAATAAATAAATAAAACCCACCTCTCGTTCTGCAGACCAGCTGAATCGTTTAATTCAAGAAATTATGATTTTATTATTATTATTATTTTATTTTTTAGTGAATGGCCGAGTTAAATACCCAGTGTCTCTCTTTAAGCAGCTCACCCATACGGGCCTTTTTTGATGTGACATTTCCAGAATGTGACACGAACATGAGCGCTTTATTTACCAACCAGCGTCCAAAACCAAACTGAAACCACCTGGTTGCTAAATTACTACAAGCTTCCCAGTCACGCATTTAGATATACGTCTACATTTTAACAGAAATATCATGAGTGGGTGAAAAGCGTGCCATATTTAAAGCCAACAGCGGTGACGCCGCCTGAGAGCTAACAGGACTCACTCATTGAATTTCCCCATGTTTAGCTAGCTGCGCGCGAGCAACTTGGATAAAAAAGTGACAGTGCTAAGCTAGCTAGCTAACATCGGCAGGCTTTTAGGGCAAGATAAAAAAAACAGTGGCTTGTGAATTACCTTCATCAACTGCTCCAGGGGCGTCCAGTTTTTAAGGAATTTAAGTGTTGCTGTGTGAGAAAATGTAAGCGGGCGACGTAGCCCGAACATCCAAGCTCAGTTCACGCAGCGCCGAAGAAAGCCGAGCATCATCTCTTTGACTATTATCGCCGTCTTTCATCGGTTCTCGGAGCTCGGCGGTGCTTCACGCACATCCATCCAGCGGAGATAAGGGCCTCCCTCCGGGCTCGACCATGCGACTGGCTCGGCGACGACGGATAATCCACAGAACAGGAGCCCCCGCAGTAAGCATTGGCTAGACGCGGCGCCTAGCAAGTCATTTCAGGTCGTGAGAATGAGAAATGTAATTTCCACGCAGGCGTAAAAAAAAACCGTGCAGTTTGAGGAGGGGGGAAAAAAATAAAGGTTTGACGTGAAAAAACTGCCAGATTTACAAAGAAGGAAAATGCTGCGTTGCTGACTTTTCCAATATGGGTCTACCCGTTGTTGTCAGCGCTCCCCTGATCTGTCTCTGCAGCTGCTTGCCTGCCTTGCAGCAAGACAGCAACGAGGAGCTGAACGACGACGTAATGACGCAGGAGGAGCGCACGGGGGCGGGGCCTATCACAGAGAGGCGCGCTGTTTATTTTCAAACGCACCCATGTCAGTCTGTAAAGTTACAGTATTAGAATATACATTTTCCATCCGGTTTACTCCTTTCGTTTTTTACTTTAAAGGACTTTAATTTAATGTTACATATTTAAAATGTTTTTTTTTATTTCCCAGCTTTTAGAAGTACTCTTAAGTCATTGCACCTGATCTTTTTTATTGAAGGAATTCTAACTTTAATCGCAGAATTCTATATACAGTATACAGT